GGGCACCGGGTGGTCAGGGAGGGACAGCAGACACTCGCCTCCGCCCCGCTGGGGCTGGGGCGCCGCCCCCAAGGGCGGGGGAGAGGGGGCAGCCGGCTCAGGCCCCGGAGGGAGGCGGCCAGTCCTGCGGCCTGCGTGGCCCCGCCCCGCCCCTCCCTCCCCAAGGCTGCGGGCTCCGCCGGCGCAGACCCTCCCCGCCCAGCCCCTCAGCGCCTGGCGCTGCTAAGTGGAGGGGGACTGGCCATTTCTGAAGCCTCTCATGTGCCTGCTCCAGAAAACAGAGCCTCAAGGGGCTGCTCTGCGGGGAAGCGGGGCAGGTGTAGCCACTTGGAAAGCGATCAGAAGCCCCATCCCGGGCACCCGCCCCGCCCCGACCAGCACACCTGCCCCTGCAGGGGCCTGGGGGCTCCGGGGAACCTCCGCGCTGCTGCTGAGGAAGGAGGTGATCTTAGACGGGGGACGCACCCCCAGCAACAACCCTGACAGCACCTCCTCCCTGGGCCGGGGGAGGCGGGTTATGAATGTTCACAACGACACAATACATAACAGACTTTGAAAACATTAGCGATAGAAAGGTGTGCAGCCCACAATTCCCCAACGATGAAACATAAAGTGCTCTTTTCTGTCAATGGCACCTAGGCAGCCGAGTCTCCCAGGCTTCTGCTGAGCCCGGCTGACCACGTGCATCCGCAGCCAACCCCCATTCCCGCCTGCCCCCCATGTCGGGTGACCCGGTTAACCCTTCATTTGCTTTGACAGGTAAGAGCGGAGCGGGAGCCATGGGGACCTCACTTGCTTGGCAACGGCCGCGAGCGACCTCTTTGCTGGCTGAGGGGCGGTTGTGAATCCTGGGAGGAAGTCCTGCCGCTTTCTGCGCTATTCACGGCGGACCAGCTGCCGACAGAACCAGCTTTCGGTTCCTGCTCCTCCTGGCGGCGGTCGCTCTGTGACATCTCCCGGCTCCCAGGGTGGGCACGCTCCCACCGGGGCGGAAATGAGGAACCGGCGCCCCGCCAGGAGGGACCGTGCGGGGGCACAAAGGGTGTCCACCTCAGATGCAGGATGCCGATAACCTCGGGGCACACGTAACAGTGAAATGTGATTTTAAAAAAATTCAGTGAGGGGGTCCTGGCATCCACTCCGTATAACACAGTGGCTTGAAAAATTCCTGGAAGTTGAAGTCGCTGGTCTGAGCAGCTGGGGCCGGAAGCCCCCAAGAGCCGCTGTCTGGGTCCAGCGGGGGCTGGGGAACAGGCGTGGACTTGCTGCGCCCCACAGGGTGGGCTCAGCCAGGCTCCTCCAGGGGGCGATGGTGCGGGGACCCGCAAGCACCGTCCCACGCGCTCAGGGACTGCTTTGCTCTTTATGAATTGTGACCTTGTTCGTCGGTGGGGGGTCCAGGAATTTCACTCTAATCCCACAAATGGCTGTTTTGGCAGGTGTGGCAGGAGGCGTGCAGTTTTACGGGCGACCGGAGCGGCTCTGGCTGGGGCGCCGCGCTGCCAGTGCCAAGCCCGCGCGCAGCTTCCCCGGCGAGCTCAGGGCCTCAAGCCCCTGGTTTAGGCGTTTTTATTGGAAAGTTCTATTTTTAATGCATCCTGGTGTTTGCACTGAAACTGCCCCAAAGACGCCTTCCTTCGGAGACCCTGGGCCCTGGAAACGGAAAACCCGCCGGAAGGACACGGCCCGGCCCGCTCTGCCGCCGGGCCCAGGCGGGGAGCACTGGGAGGCCACCTTCGCGGGGGGTCCAGCCCAGGGGCCGGACGCCGTGAGTCCCTGTGACCAAGCCAGGCTGCGCGGTGGCCTGCAACACCTGTACCTCTGTGCAGAACGTGTTAAAAATTGTGCTTCACAACTGCACTGATAGAAAGGCAAATATATGGATACTACATACGAAAACCTTTACTTTGACCTAAAGGTTTACTTTTTTTTTAAGGGTTTTATTTATTTTTAGAGAGGAGGGAGGGAGGGAAAAAGGGAGGGGAACATCGCTGTGTGGCTGCCTCTCTTGCACCCCCTGCTGGGGACCTGGCGGTGCAACCCAGGCAGGTGCCCTGACTGGGAATCGAACCAGCGACCCTTTGGTTTGCAGGCTGGCGCTCAGTCCACTGGGCCACACCAGCCAGGGGTGCTTTTTCCTTCTAAGAATTAACACTTTCATGAGCCCCAAAGTGCCCTGGGCGCTGACAGTGTGCCCACCGAGGGGAGGGGGCGGCGGGGTGTTGGAGACAGCGGAGCAAGTGGGGTGGGGTGCAGCTCTGGGGCAGTGGACTGGTGCGACCCTCGTAGGGGCAGGCAGCCCCCGTGGGACCCCACCAGCATCCCCAGAAGCGGGCGGCCAGCCTCGGCCTGCTCTCCTGCAGCAGGGAGCTCGCGCGCCACCAGGCCAACCGCGCGCCCTGGCCTCCCCTGTCTCAGCAGAGGCCCAGCGCCAGAGTCTCACGTCCCCGTATGTCTCGCCCACAGCCGGTCCCGGGCCACAGAGGCAGGTCCCCCCCCCGCCTCCGCCCACCTGTGCGTGAGGACGGTGGTCCCGTCCCGGCTCCAGCTGTCTCTTCTGTCAGCAAACTAGTCCCGTTTGCCATCTTGAGAAGCACTCCCAAAACCACTGAACAGCTTACACCACGGCCTCAACCGCTGTGGGAGCTATTCATCTTCACTTCTGAGAACGTGGGCCTGTGGGCGCGTAACACACAGTTCAGGGCTCACGACTAGCAGCCAACACTTGCACTCGCGGCCGCTCTTTTTTGCACTCTGCCCACTGCAGATCCTGAGGCTTAAACAGTCAGGCAAGAGGCTAGGCCTCCTGCCCCAAGTCCCAGGCTAATAAATGAGCCCTGCACATGCTGAGGGCCGGGCCCCCGATCGGCGGGGGTTCACAGGCAGGTGGCGCCCTCCTGCCAGGACTCCCAAGGGCCCTGCCCCGCTCCCCGTGGGAACACGATTAAATGCTGTTTTTTCTGTGTGGGTGCCTCACACACCTCTCCTCTGCCATTCAAGGGGCTGTTATTTTCATTCATTGTAAGTCCTTTGTCTCTTTTTTAGAGATGTTGCAAATATTTCAGTGTGTCACTCACTTGTTCGCCTTTGCTTGGTTATGTAGAAATTTGTTCATTTTCCTAAAGTGGAACGTTCATCTTTTTCATCCACAACTTCTGAAAATCATCTTTTTCAGGAAGTTCTTCGCCCCAAGATGACTGAGCACCTACCACGCTCCCCCCGGGTGCTCCATGCCACACGCTCCACTGCCTTGCAAAACAGAGCCGCTGTCTGTCGCCTGTGTGTGGGCAGCGTGTCGCAGCGGCAGCAACGGGGGTGCCCCGGGCTGAGGGGCGGCCTGTGGCACAGGGGACCCCTCGGGGGGGCGCGCCCTCTGACGTCGCTCAGGGACAAGCCCTGGGTCTCCCTGAGATTCCTGGACTTCTTCTGAACCCCATTTTCTCACCTACAGACAGACCTGCTTGGTTTAAACTGGTAATTAAAATCTGGAACTCAGCTCTAAATAAGGACTTTTAAAGTTTTATAGTTTAAAAAGCCCTTTAAATTTCTTTTCTCCTGCTGCATTAAAAAAGAAGTCCTTTCCAACCCGCCTTTATGAAAACACACAAGTAAGAGGGGACCGTTCCAGCGCCCGCTCCCGCTTAGGGCAGCGCTTCTAGAAACTCCACTTCCCAAGACCTGTTAGGAACACACAAAGCCTTCCCATTAAGAGCATCAGAGAACGGAGGTAAACTCAGAGCCCACCTCGGCGGCGGCTCGGCTCCCGGGCGGCGGCGTGGGGTCGGGCTCCCTGGGAGGCTGCATAAACGAGGTGGTCTGCTCTCTGGGCCTCCGGGTGTGGGCGGAAGGTTCGGGAGCCTGGAGCCCAGGCCCCGCTGCTGCATGGAATTTCTTCCCTGACGGGTGGGCACACCTGGGCTCGGACCCTGTGCACGGGCCTCGTTTGCAGCCGAGTCTCGTGGAAGCTCAGGCAAACTGCTCATCCTAAGCCCGGAACCACTGATATCAAGTGTTTATTCAAACACTGGTGAAGGTCACGCCAAAAAATTGACTTGAGAGAGAGATTGGGGCGGGGGGGGCAGAGAGAGAGAGAGGGCGAGCATCGAGTTGTTGTTCCCCTGCTTCCGCCTTCACTGGTTGATTCCTGTATGCGCCCGACCGGGGACCAAACCCACGCGGCCCTCGCCCGAGCGCCCAGCCGGCCGGCCGGGCCACGCTCCTCTCCCGCGGGAGCAGCGTCACCCAGACCAGCCTCTCCGGGTCAGGGCCGCTCTGACGAGCAACCAGCGACGCTGCAGGGGCGCGGGCGGCACACCGAGCAGAACGCCAGGGCCCCCAAGTCCCGGCCCGCACTGAGGGCCCCTGAGTGACAGCATCGCTCTACACAGACTCCAATCACCATTGTTTTAAAGCTGCTCACTAAAAAGGAAAAGAAAAATACCAAAGTAGAAAGTTGGATTTTTTTAGCCTTGAATTATCTGTTCCAAAGGTTTACACGTTTCCTGCGAATATAAATTAGCGTCAGCTCAACTTTTAAACTACAATTTCTGACGACTCCAGTCCTTCCTGAAAACTTAGAAACCAAACTAGAGAAAACATTTAATAATCCCATTTGTGTCTTTTATCAAAATAACGAGTAGCCTAGATGCGATTCATGGGCAATCATACTCAGAAACTTCCACAACTTCACGGATGGCCTTGTGGTTTGACAAATGCTTCTCTGTCTCAGAAAACGTCCATTTATATGGAAAAGGGACAAGTGTTGGAATAGGAAAGGAGAGATAAATTTCCCTGAACTTCCTTCGGCAGAAAACAAAATGCACATTCAAAAATAAAAAAATCCAAATGCTTACACGCTTTTCCCAGGTGTGACTGCACTGCACAACCCATACGCTTATAGGAAAAATATGTGATTATTTTTAATGATTTATGTATAAAAGAAAAAAAATAAATTTTATGATACAATTTGACAGACTACTTCATACAAAGTTTTACCCACATACAAAGTATATAATTTTTTGCAACACAAAATTTCTAGTCACATATACAAGCCCCTAGAAGACAGGCAAACCAACCGGAGGCGAGCGGGGCGGCGGGGCCCTGGCCAGGCCGCTCGGTTCAGCAGGAAGCAGACGACGGCACGTGCAGGACCACGGAGCTAAACCGCCTCCCCTCTCCAACCAGGGGTTTCGTATAATCTGATCAAGCAGAATTTTAGAGAGGAGAAGACCGATGCTTCTGAACAGGAGATCTTGGTAACTGATCTTGAACTTACTCAGCTTACAAAATCATACAACTACCTCAGTGAAAGAATTATTTTGGAAATCACACTAAGAAAAACTAAGCTGCGCTGTGGGTGCTAACCCCCAGCGAACAATCCCCTCCGGCAACAATGTATATAAGTACACGGCCGCAGCGACCTCGGAGCTCCTTGGTTTACGGAATAAATATGTTCTCTAGAAACGACAGCGTCAGGAACAGTAAGTGTGTCTCCGAACAATGAAACCTTTATATACAAACCTGAAGACGTAAGTATATACAGTATTACATGTACGTGAAAAACTAAGTACAAGCCCTGTTTAAAAAAAAAAAAACCTTTGTTGTAAAAAGGAATTTCCTCCCCAAAATGGTAACATCCCAAAACGTTGCGAATCGGCGCCTCCTTGTGGGCCATCCTTTCTGGGTCCCCGGGGCCACCTGTCCCTCGGCAGCGGCACAGGTGGCCGGCGGGGAAGCAGCAGACGGACGTCGAGCGAAGTGAGGACAGCCGGGGGCGGGCGCACGTGTACCCCGGGTCGGGGGCCACACTGAACTTCCTAAATGTATCAACTTCAGGGTTAGAAACACAAGCCAAAGACAACAGGGACCAGTAGGACAATTACGTGAAGAAGTATACACAATTATAAAGAAATTAAAAACAAGTTCCCCGTGTACCTTTCTAAAAATACAGGCTGAAGTGATCCCTTTTCAAGTGCAAATGAACTAAAAACAGAATCTACCCCCGTTCGGGCCCTGTTCTATTTGCAAAGCGCCTCCAAAGCGCACCCTCTGGCGCGGTGCCACCTCCGAGTCCGCGCCAGCCCAAGAAACAGCTCCGCGACAGTGGCCGCCTTCGCAGGCCGCGCGCTCACAGCCAGGGAACTCTGGAAGGGAAGTGGAGGCAACAGGCTCCTGCAGACGCAGGGAACAGGCTGCAAGGAGACCCCACACAGGCGTTCGGAAGAGCTATTTATAACCAGCGCGGACTCCCCGAGGAAGGCAGAAAACACGCGCGTGTCATACACTGAACGTGCCTGCAGTCCTAACGCTCAGAAAGTTAGCTGGATGACTGTGTTAACTGTTCATTTTCTTTGCAGACTCATAGTTACACAGCGATGTGGTTCTAGCTGCCCCTTCGTTTTCAGACTCTGACTCGCTGAACACGCGGAGGCTTCACCTTCTCGAACCCCCATCGAGGCCGTGCACCATCTTCTGGATCCTCTCTTCGTTCCTCAGGACGGCGGCCTTCACGGCGCAGATCCTGTCCTGCTGGTCCCTGATCAGCTGCTCCAGCTCCGCCAGCTCCGCCCGCAGGGGTTCCACGGCGCAGTCAGTGATGCTGGGGGGTGGGGGGGGAAGGCAGCGCCGTGAGGTCCTGCCTCGCTCGAGACCTGCGGCTGCTTCCTCCTCAACTTTATCACTTTTATCGTACTCTACCGGCTGTGTGTGCGATCACAGCTGTCCCCACGTTTTCGCCCTTCGCCCCCTGCCCCGACCCCAGCCCCTCAGGCCCTCCCTCCTCGCTGTGGGCATCTGTGGGCATCCAGCCCTCGTGCTTCCTGACCCAGGGCTCATCTCACCCAAAGAGAAAGGGCGAAAACATAAACGTACACAGTAACGACACAAAAGGCAAACGCCTCGCGTCCAGGTAAAATCTCCTGATCGTCTCAGCCCCCGCCACAACCCAAAGTGAGGCTGAACCTGAGATGTATACAAGGGAGCCAATATCCCGTACAGTCCTTAAATCTCAGGTGTCACCACGAGCCCTGGGGACAGCAGGCAGCCGAGCAGCAAGGCCCAGCGACGCTCAGAAGCGCCACGTGGACGCCCGGCACGCTTCCACCTTCCTCAGAGGAGGAACCCCACCCTCCAGGACCGGCTTCCGGGGGCCCCCACTGTGGGCCCTCACCAACGGGTCAGACCCAGGGATGCCCACAAGCCCCGGGGCAAGCCAGTGCACGGCGGCCTTTCCCTTCAGGGGTTTGAGCTCATGAATACACAGCAAACAAGAGCGACAGTCTCCAACTCCCCTGCCGTAAAGCAGAACCCGGAGTTTTAGGAAGAAATGTCTGGGATGATGGTTTTTAACACTTTAAATTGAAATATAACAAGCGCCGGCCTGTTATAGGCCTTCCCTCTTTGGGGACGCTCCGGGGACCGCACTCCGCTTTCCCCTGTTGGCGCTAAAGAGAGAAATCCCAAGGGGGGTCTTGCTTTTCCAAAACAAGGCAAAAAGCAAAGACGGCAGCGCCCGCCCAGGGCGCCCCACTCAGCCCCACGGCATCAGCCTCCGTGCGCCCGCGAGTGAGATGGGTCCTCGGGTGCAAGGGCCGCCTGCGAGGGCTGTGGCGGGGGGGGGGGGGGGGGGGGGGGGGTGCTGTTAAGCCTAGCGTCACCCAGCGAACAAGCGACCCAATCGGGGTGAACGAAGCAGACCCCGTGCGGGCGCTTAACTTGCCCCAGCCCAGCACCGGGCCATTCGCACGCAGGGACCGGGTCCTGGGAGCTGCCGCAGCGGCTGTCTGGGTTCTGCCGGCGGCACAGGCTGCCTCAGCCGGCGCCGGGCGGACAAGCCGGAGAGTCCTGCGGGCACGGCCGCGAAGCGGGCTGTCTAACCACGCCGCCGCCGCTCCTACTGGGCGTGCGCATCATTCAAGCCTCGCGTCTTACCTGGTGGGAGCTGCCAGGTTCTTAGAATCGGGGAACGCCCAGGACCCTGCCCATAGAAATTACTGATACAATACTTGCCGCTTCACCCTGGTGGTGTGGCCTGGCTGGAGCGTCATCCGGTGGACCCCGGAGAGGGCCCTGCAGACCTGGGGGCTCCTCGGCCCCGCGCTGGCCGCCTGGCCCCGCCCCCAACCCACAGCCCCGCCCCACCCCCACGGCCTCAGCCCCGCCCCTGCCGGCCTTGACCCTGCCCCAGGCCCCACCTCTGCTCGAGCTGCAGGGCCCGGGCGTGCTGCCGGCTCTCGCTGCGCCACAGCTGCAGCTCGCTCTGCATGGCATCCACGTCCTCCTGCAGGTAGTCCATGATCTTGCCCAGGGGAAGCGCACTCTTGCACAGTGTCTGGATGGACGCGCGGAGCTTCTCTATCTCCTTGGAGACAATGTCCTTCTCCTTCTTCCAGGCCGACTCGAAGACCAGCGACTTCTCCTGCAGGGGCGGGGAGATGGGCAGGGGACCTCAGTCCCAAGGCAGGAGGGCGCCCGGGGGCAGGGCCGGGAAGGGTCCCCACTTCCCAAAGGGCGCAGGGGTCTCTCATTGCCGTCCTGGTGCAGAAGCGCAGGAAGGGGCCCGACCCTGCACTCAGGGCGCCACCTTCCCCTCAGAAGACGCCGAACCCGGTTCGCCAGGCGAGAGGGGATCAGGCCGCGAGGGGGCAAACGGGAAACCGGGAGGGCGCACGGGGATGGCGGCTGCGTACTGCCTGCAGAAGGGAGAGTCTCGCAGGAGGACGCAGGCGAGGCCACGGCTGCCGAAACGTTCCGAAAAAGGAGAGGAAGGCCGGAGAAGTCCCTCTGCCCCTTTCGGGACCTACGACGCAGCTGCAGTCACGACGGCAGTGCGGCCCACAGACCGACGCGCCAGGGCGGAGAGTCCACAAACAGGTCCCCGCAAGAAGGCCACCCGACTGTGCACAAAGCACCAACCCATTCGATTAAGGAAACACGGCCTTCCAAGACCTGGCGCCAGGCCTGCAGGGCAGACGGAGGGACGGGTGAACCGTGGGGGCCTCGGGTTAGGCAAAAATCGGCCCGTGGCAGGCGGCGGGTGGACACAATATGCAGGACTAAAATCCCTTCGCGCAGAGGCCGGGAGAAAGGCTCTGGGGCCACGGCCTGGGGCAGAGTTTGACTCGAGAGAAAAGCACAGGAAAACTGACACCGTGAGCTCTGGAAACTAACACTGTCGCTATGCAAGAGACCCTGCGAGAGGGTGAAAGGCACGTTAGCGAGCGAGAGAACGCACCTGCAAACCAGGCATCTGACAAACGACTGATGTCTAGAATATAGAAATTCTCAAAGCCTACGAGCCAAAAAGCAAACTATCCAATTAGAAAATGGTCAGAAGGCGTGAAGAGACATTTGGCCAGAGGGGCTGCGCGGGCGGCAGACAAGCCCGTGAAAGGGGGCGCGGCATCGTCAGGACCAGGAAAGGGCGAGGTCGAGCCGCGCCTGTCAGAGTGGCCGCGTGCGGAGCGGTGCCGCGGCCCGGCCAGGGAGACAGGGTGGGGGGCCGAGAAAGGGCCCCCCACGTGGCTGGCAGGGAGGGGCCGGGCAGCTGCGCTGGCGACAGCCTGGCCGTTTGCTGGAAAACGCAGCAGGCGGCCCGCGCGGGGCCTTCATCCTGGAGAAAGGGAGGTCCTTTCTCCCGCGCACGCGCACGTGCAGAGGCCACCTCACAGCGGCCCTGATGCCTGGCCAGGTACGGAGTGGACAGCCCGCACCATGGACACGCCCCCCCCCCGCATCGGGGGGCAGGCGGGCGGACGCGCGGGGCACGGACGGTGGGCTTCAGGAAGCCGCACAGTCCTCTGACCCGTCTCTGCTTCACACACAGCGCACACGGCGCCACCAGCAGCTCCCAGGACAAGGTAACTGCTACCTACCCCGGGTCACAGGCTTCTCTCGCGCCCGGTAGAAGTCGACACTCTCCACCACACCCACCACACAGGAACCAGTCATTTGAAATAGTCTTAATTTTTGAAAACAGAAGACCAAAAACTAATGGAAGTGTAAGTTACACGACCCGGGACAGGGGGTCCTGTGGGAAACGGGCGCGTGGTCGGGACACGGGCTCTCGGTCACAAAGCTCGTGACAACCCATCGCACCGCCGCCGGCCTGGCCGGCCCGGGGAGCCCGACCGGCCCGCGCTACCCCAGTTTCCTCCCAATACCGGAGCCACCACAGAGACCCTGCAGCTCAGGTTAACCGGGTGACAGAGAACAAGCAGCCCAGTGCCTGGCACACGGCGCCCCCGCCACGCTAACCAACACCACCTGTGTGACCGCAGCGGGCGACGCCGCAGGGCCTTCCCGCAGGTGGAGCCAGCGAGCTGTCCCGGTGCACGGAGGCGGCGACAACGAGGCAAATCCCCCCACTCCACCCCCGCCACCAGCTGAGAAAGGCCCTCCGCTGCGGGGCGTGTTTCCGCGTGGTCCACACCGACCGCAAGTCGACCCCGGCCTCAGAGAGACAAGTCCCGCCACCAGAAAACTGTTACCTTCCTGGCTGGCAGGCCCCTCCCCCACCGCCACTCGGGAACGCGAGCAGCCCACAGCCACCGGCAGACCCCAAAGCTGTTTCCTGAGAGGCAATCCTGGGCGGCGAGGCCCGCCGTGCGCCATGCAGGCCTGGAGCGGCACCCTGTCTGATGGCGGGGCGGGGGGAGGCAGCCGTGCCACAGGGCCACGAGTCCACACTCGGCCGCTGTCTGCCGCGCGGGGGCTGGCTGTGCACTCAGCCGGATCCACAGGAGGCCTCGGGCCCGGCGTCCTGGCACGTGCGCTTCAGAGAGAGACTTTCCAAGACGTTCAGTGAACAGTCACTTCAGGCCTTACCATCAGCTCTTTTGCAGGCACAGAAAAGCACGCGAAGCATGAATGGGCTGTTTAACAAAACGACGGAGCGACTACCACAGGCTGGGGACCCCAAGGCCGGGGCCGCCACCGCGCTGCCCGCCGGGCAACCCGGTCCCGGACGGGCACCCCGGCTCCGCTGGCTGCCGCCCGCCCGCCGTTCCCGCTCGCCCGGGACGAAGGCCTCACATGGCCCCAGCGGTGCGCCTCGGTCCCTCGGCTCTCCGAGCGTTCGAGAACCGGCGGGCGGTCGGGAGCGCGCAGTGCGCTCGCTCGTTTGCCTCGCCGAAGGGCACCTCCTTCAGACTCGGCCACAGTCGCGTCACCCCCTCCCCCCAGCCAATGCACACACGGGTCAGCCTTGGTCCGGGGCTCTCACCTGACACACGTCCCAGGGCACCCGGGCAGGGACGGCCCCTGGAGGGCACTGCGGGGTCAAAGGGCATGCTCGCCTCCGCCCTGGGCCTCGACGCCAGCGGACGCCGAGGGTGATTCAGGAGGCAGCAGCTCACGCGCGCGCACGTGAGAGCACACCCCGTCCCCGGGCCTCTACAACGCGATGGGTGCGGGTCAGGCCGCCTGCTCGTGAAGCCCCTGCAGACAGAAGCCCGCATGCACGGGGGGCTCCTGGAACGCGGGCGCGAGGACCGCACCGTGCACGGGGCGGCCATTCGGGCCCGGGCCGGGACGACATCCAACCTCCGCAACCGACCTCTGCAACCTCTTGGACAAGATAGCTTTGTGCCTCAGTTTCCCCGCCTGGAAAATGGGGGAAATGCCTGCCTCATAGGTCACTGGGAGGGTTAAATACAGTGGCGTAGGCAGGTCCTAGTCGTAAGACGCGCCCTGCGGAAGCCGGCTGTCCTTGGAATCGCTACATCGTGCACCGGCAAGAACGCCGACCACAGCGCCCCTCCTGCGGGAGGAGGGCAGACGGCGCCGCCGCTGAGGGAAGGCCGGGGCCTGTCTTGGAATTCGGGGGGTGGGCGTAGGGACGTGGGCACGGGGCTGGGGTCACTGCGGCCGATGCAAAGGCCGGCGCACAGCACAGAAGATGAGAGTCAGTCCGCCCTCTCTCACTGGCCTGAGAAACGGACACAATCTAACAACCACCTTACCACTTCGAGAGCTGTGGGACCTGACGCTGAGCGGCTGGCAGCAGGGCGATGCAGGGCTCACGTTCCCAGCCGAAGCACTCCCTTCTCTACCCAAAATAATTAAGTAAGTTAAGAATGTGACATTACTGGCCTAACACTGTTTTTTTCAAACATTTTTATGAAGGGCCACTCTCCTATATTTATCTTCCAGATGAATTTTAGAATATTCCCTGCCAAGTTCCAAAACCTCCACTGAATAGTTATTAGAATTACATTAAATTTATAAGTTAATTTCAGAGAAATGACATCTCTACAATACCGAGTTTCCCATCCAGGAACACAATGCCTTGATTCTTCCCAGACCATTTATGTTTCTCGGTAAAATTCCTTGGCTTCTCGATCCAGGTACCAAAAGTGTCCTGTCAGAGGCACGCAGGCCGTGGGCAGCCACGCGTGCGTCCCCAGCCCCGCAGGGAGGCCCCGCCCACCGCCGACTGTGCGGTTACTGCTCACTGTCCTGCACCTCCTTCCTAGCAGGTGTGACTTCTGGGGCCGATCTGCCTGACAGATTGTTCATCGTCTTCGCCCACGGTGCCCCCTCGGGGATGAAACCTCATTTCTGCCGGCACTGGCGACGGCCACTAGTCCCGTCCCTGTGACTGCTGGGGGCCCCTGTGCCGCCCACCGCGACACCGGGCAGACGTGGCGCACGCCGTTCCGAGCGCCTGCCGTCCCCAGCGCGCAAGGCACAGCCCCCGGACGGACGCTGCGCTGCACTCGGGCCTCTTCGTAAGAGACGACACCCCCGCTGGTGGCTTTATTTGGTTCAAGAATAACGTTTTGGTTAAATGTAAGCTAAGCGAGCCACGGTTAGCGGGTGCTCCAGCTACCGTAAATTTTTTTTTTAACTGAAACAATCATCCCTTTACTAGATGTAGCCACACAAGTGAGGAAGAAACGGGCCATAGGAGGAATCGGGCGAGGAGGCTACGCGCATCTGATGATGAAGTCTTCAGTCCAAGGCTGTGTTCTGCTTCACTATTAATTACATAACAGAATATGTGTTCTAGTAATTCCTAAGCATGACTTTTGTCCTTCCAGAATAAACAGAGTAAAATGAAGGAAATTTTTAAACACTTGGAGATACCAGTGAAAAGAAAAACAAAGCTGCAAAAGAGAAGACCAACCAAGCCAAAAGTTGGTGGTTTGAAAAAACTTATTTAAAAAAAGAAGAAAAAGCACAAATAAGTAGTATACTTAATAAAAAGAGAACAAAACTATAGAGCCAATGTTTAAAAGAATTCTATCAAGACAATACACTTGAAAATTTTTAAAGAAATTGATAATACTGACTCAAGAACAGAAAGCCTAAATGCTCCCATGATTAACACAAAACTAAGAGCAGCAGCTTAAGTTTTCTCCACAAAGGAAACGCGGCGCCCGACGTCGGCAGGCGCGTCCCGCCCCTCCACGCAGA